AACTATCATTGAAAATATGATTTTGAGACGAAAAATCTTGAGAATCCATAATATAGTAGTATTAAATAGTTTAGTAGTAAGAAAAAAGAAATAAAATAGAGATGATGATAATATTTGTAGTTGAAAGACGAAAGTGAAGTGAACTAATACTACCAATTAATTGAATTCATAGATGTTGAATATATTATTACCATTAGAACTTCGTAATTTACAAAAAAAATAATAAATAATAAAAAAATTTAAAAATTGCAAGCAGGCGTAGCTGCAGGCGATGCAAGCTGCTGGGAGAGAGAGTTGTTGGCTCTCTCCCCCCTTTTTTTCAAAATTTTTCGTTTTTTTTTCAACCGCGGCCCGTGAAGCCTAAACCCGCAAAACCCGCAGGTCACAACTCTTTGGCCCGTGAACCACCTGCACGTGTCACGGGTCGGCCCGCGGTCCCGATTTTCACGGGTTATGGCCGGTCCGTCCGTCTTGACACCTCTAAGTTTAGTGATCTCCTGAAAACCTTATACAAATTTCAGTGACCAATCAAGTAATTTATCAATCTCTATGTTTTTTAAGTTCTTTCTATCTTTCCATTTTTTATACTCCTACCCCGTAATTTTATTCTCTATCGTATCGTCAAACTTAGAAAAAATAATATCCTTTATTCCGGGGGTAATCAACATATGATTACAGGGAAAAAAACATCAAAAGAATATAAAAGTTGGTTAATTGCCTTATATTGGTTATCGAACTTTGCTCAAGGCTTTCAAGAGTCACTAAATTTCACGCCACTTTTTTGGACTGATTTGCATTTTTAAAAAAGTTAAGGAGCAGATTTACAATTTATTCTTTATTTTTCTTTTCTTTTCTTTTTATTTTATTTATATAGGAGGGTATAATGGTCATTTCATGTTAAAAATTGGTAAAAATGACGTTTAACGCAAAGAATGTGAAAGGTAGGGACGTTCTGCGCCAAAAAACAAAAAGTATGGACGTTTTGCGCCAATTACCCTAGTTAGAGTATTTAGAATACTTAGATAAACTATTTGAGTGTGGATGGGGTAAAGTTGAAAGTGTTAACGTCACATAATAGTTGCTTGTTTTGTTACTGTCTGCATGGAATAAAACAAAAATACTAAATTAGTGAAATTTGAAATTGTATTTACTATGTTCTAAATGTTATTTTCTTTGTTTAAAATACTTAAAAGTTACAAGTAGGAAATTAATCTAAAATAGTAAAAGTTACAATTGTTTATGTGTGCTATATCTTTAAAATAGGCAACGACAAGTTTAAACGTACTGAAAATGTTTAATTTTGTAAGTTAAGAACAACATAAATAAATAGAATCGATAATTTTAAAATAGAAGAGAATTTAAAATGTTTGTTGTGTTTTTATGGAACGTTTAAAATAAATTATTAAGTTTAATTATGATAAATGAGGTGTATTAATAAAAACATCTGTCACTTTAAAAATATCTATTCTATGAAGGAAATGTTGCATAAAAGTATTTAGTGTGCGAAGGAAAGCTATCATGTTGTGAAAATATCTAGTATTTTATATGTTTAAGTATATAAATTTAGATATGTAATATGAATAAGTGATTAAACAGTTGTAAACATATTTACTGGAATAAATAATAACTGGAATGAGAATTTATAATTTATTTAACTGAAATAGAAATGTGATGGCGAAGAATTTATACGTCAATAATTAATAT